CACAATGGCCTAGTCATGTGGATGATTTTGTTGGCTGTTACCTAAAGTGGTATGCAAACAGTATATCTACCAAACTGCCATGCATGTTCAAAAAGGTTCTTTTGTTTTTGGTTTTTTGAACTACTGCAAGTTAGCTGGAGGGAAGTTGAAAACCTGTCCAGTAATGTGAACCTCAGTAAATACAGATACAATGGCAAACTGTATGGAAGAAAACACAGCATAGGTGTATTCTAATATATTATAATAAAAATAAATATAATTGATCATGTCTAAATGATAAATGGGCCTTGGCTTCCCTAAATATCAAAAGGGCTTTACTTACACAAGGTATTACTGTAAACTGGAAGATACACTGAGTGCATTTTTTTCTTTATATCAGACAATGCAAATGGAAGTATCTAATCAAGCAAAGTTTGTTAGAGTTCTAGAATACGTAGGATATATTTTGCTTAACTCTGGTTACATTTAATTATCTATGTTTCCTAACTTGAATAAAATCGGTCCTGTTATACTGAAAAGCATTTGAAACTATTTACTATTATCTTGGGACAAGTTCTGAGAACACTTCTCTGACAGAACAAAAAGAGTTCTTGCGATTCTGCTGAGTTTGCACCTAGACTGAGATCACTAGCACTTGGCCAAAGGGGGATGAGAGTTAAAACTTGAGAGGAGTGGTTGACAAAGGAAATTTTAAATACTCATGGGGAATGGAAGAAATAGTTTAACAAACTGAGAAGGCAAGCAATGGTATGTTTTTAAAAATCAAATGGCTGGTACTTCATATACCCAATGGACTGAGCTGACAGATGTGCCAGACACAGCCTTCTCTCACAGCTGAGAGAAGGAAATGAACCTTTTCTACCATGCTGTAGGTAATACTTTTGTAGTTTGCAACCTGAGCTTTGTGGATGCTTAGTAAGCTTATTCGTGGTGTTAGATTTAAATTCAGAAAGGGACCACTGTGCTCTTTTAATCTGATCTCCTGCATAACATAGCTCGTAGCATTCATACAATAATTCCTGCATCAATCACTTTTCTGGTTGAGTTAGAACAGCAGTGGGTGATAACTAGACTATGGACTGGATGCAGTTGCTGCCGGCACATTATTTACCTGCACCTCTTCAGGTACAGCTGCTTGAAGTTCCCATTCTCCACAGATTGCCGCTTCTGGTCAATGGGCACTGTGGGAAGAGGCACAAACAGGGACACTGTTTCCCAAAGCTCCTTTTTGGCTGGGAACAGCAATCGGAAGCCAATGGAAGCTTCAAGTATCCATAATGGTGGAAGCATAGGTAAATAAAGTGCCGGTGCATCCAGCTTATTGCCCACCCCTGAAATAGAGCATATATTTTAGAAAGACAAGACTTCAGTGTGATGGAGAATCTATCATGACTCTAGAAAAGTTGTTCCTCTGGTTAATTTCCTTGGGTATGTCTAGCCGTATGCCTACATTACCCCGCTAGTTCGAACTAACGGGGTAGTGTAGACATACCCTTTCACTATTAAATATGCGTATCTTATTTCCAGCCTGAAATTGTCTAGTGTCATCTTCCAGAAGTGCTCATCAAAAAATGAGCTCTCCTCCCACCATCCTCTTAACTTCCAGGTCATGTGTGCCTTTGTCTTCACTTGCTTTTTGGCATTATCATTTCTGATGTCCTTCTCTGTACCTTTTCCAATATATCTTTTTTGAGATGGGGCAACCAGATCTGCAGGCAGTATTCAAGCTGTGGGAGTACCCCACTGACTTATATAGAGGCAATATGATATTTCCTGTTTTATTACCCGTTCTTTTTCTAATAATTCCCAATATCCTGTTAACCTTTTTAACAGACTGCTGCTGCACACAGAGTGGTGTTCTCAGATTCTCAGAGAACTATCTACAATGACTCCAAGTTCTCTCTCATGAATGCTAACAGCTAATTTAAACCCCATCATTTTACATGTATAACAAGGATTATATTTTCCAAAGTGCATTACTTTGCATTTATCAACATTGAATTTCATCTGCCCTTTTGATATGCAGTCACCCAGTTTTACGAGATCCCTTTGTAGCTCATTGCAGTCTGCTTTGGAGTTCACAATCTTGAGAAGTTTTGTGTCATCTGTAAATTTTGCAACCTCACTGTGTACCCCTTTTTCCAGATCATTTATGAACATGTTGAATAGAACCCAGTATGAACCCATGAGAGACACCACTCTCCATTCTGAAAACTGACCATTTATTCCTACCCTTTGTTTCCTATAACTAGTTACTGATCCATGAGAGGACCTTCCCCTCTCTTCCCATGACAGCTCACAATGCTTAAGAGTCTTGGGTGGGGGACCTAGACAAAGATTTTCTGAAAATCTAAGTAGACTATATCCACTGAATCACATTTGTCCACATGTTCGTTGACACCCCTCAGAGAATTCTAGTAGATTGGTGAGGCATGATTTGTTTACAAGAGCCATGTTGACTTTTCCCAGCGAGTTGTGTTCAACTATGTGTCTGAAAATTTTGTTCTTTACTATAG